GTTTTTGTATTAGACCCGTCGTCCATTTATTTGTAAGTCAATGGTCCTGAAGGTAGAACTAAAATGATACAACCCTACGCAACGAGTGACGTGTACTTGTCTTATTATTCTATAATCGTGAAGTAAATTGAGTGGTGAAGGACTACATTGTGTAATTCAATTGATACTTTTACAAAAAAAAAAACAAAACGTCCGCAACATGCACGCTAAAATCATTTTCAATGTAGTTTGCCGCTTGACCTTAGTTTGTTTGTAGTGTGACCTTGACTACGCCAACAGTCTAAAAGAAAAGCAAAAGATTCGTATAACAGCGAGTGGCAGGACCAGAGGGCGCCCAGGCGGGCAAGGATTTTGACTCAGGGTGGTATTGGACACATTTATGTATAAATTCTTTGTTCAACTACTTCAGGTGCCGAGGCAAAATGTTAATTAGGAAATAACTAACTGGGCAATGCCATCTATTGACATAGTGTCGAATTGACGTTGCGCTTTTGTTCTATTTATTATTCTAAATACGTACTTTTGAGCAGCGGCCGATAAAAGCCTTACCGGCCCTTAAGCGAGTGTAAAACTGAACCCGAAGCTTACAAACATACGGTAGGCATAATTTACAAGACTTCGTATCCACTGACCGAACCATGGACAATTTGTGTTAAATTTTGCATACGCTGAAAAGATTACTTACTTAATCCAAATAAGGCAACAAGCAATTGTCAATAACAGTAACATTCATATGCCAGTTGTAATGGTTAACTCCAGACACAGTGACCAACTGTAGTCGCCCGCTTTCGTCCAACTCTCGGAGGCCGATTCGGTCTTCTAAGTAGATGTCTTGCGACCGCATCTCTATTACATTTTCTTTTGAGTCGTAATAACCGAATTGACTGAAAATACATAATAAAACACATGTACAATAGTCCATCGGTAACATAATTATCGCAGTGAAAAGCAGAGAGAAATTTAAACGGCCAATCGCAAATTCAAAATCGCATTAATTCGCAAATTAACTGTCAATTCATATGTGATTGGTCGTGAATTCAAAGCTATCTCATTTCGACCCCTCCTACGTCGTTACGTACGATACTTTTATCGTATATCGAAATTGCCAAGTTTACAGGGAAGCGTTTTAAAGTTTTGAATACACTGAAGTGAGCGTAACATGTGACTTTAGCATTTCTCCGTTTTATTGGGCAAAGCTCGTTACTCACATTTGTCGATGATTGTCGACAACAACTACATGACTATTTAGAATTTTACAATAACTGGCAACCCTGCAAATGGCCTTTTTTCTCCATCTTGAAAATAGACAGACTACAGAGTTCATGCGTACTTAGTCGTTATGTATCATGATCACATTTCCAAACAATTCCAATCAATTTCAGTACGTCATAAAATCGGGTACCTACACATCAATAATCAATATGATAGCCATGTCCCAAATAATCTGAACAACTGATCGATCAATATTGCTATCGATTTACTGTAAGCTATTTTTTATGCACGCCATATGCGGGATTTACACGAATTCTGTTTTGTTATCGGATGACCTTGTCCGGGGGAAATAAAATCTGGATAAGATATTCCTATTATCTGACGTTATGGCACTTGCAGTGAAGAGTCCGCGTGTTATCGGACCCACTTACAATACACAGTCACTCTATCGCCATGACAGGAGCGTACAGGATTGCGCGCGGGAAACCCTGCACGCGCTTTCGTGCGCGATTAGTTGTTTGAAGTTTTTTAAACTAACGTTCTTTCGGGCGCGATTGCTTATTTTCGTTTTTGTTACAACGAACAGAGCGTCCGTGTAAAGGCTAATAGTGTAGGATAGACTGCGTGAAACTGGCGCGCGTTGGAGTACGCAATCGCCGCGCCATCCATCCAACATCTTTATTTGTTGGAACGAAAAGGGAATGATGTATCACGCGCGATAGATTGTCTGTGTAAAACCGGCTATTGCCTACAAATCTTCCTGCTATTCTTAGGGTCGTATTCTAGAACTCTACTCAATGCTCAAGTCAGGATTTGAGTACGGTTTAAAGCACTCGAAATCATACTCAAGTCCCTGCCATTAGGGTCGTATTTCGAGTGCTTGTGTTTCCAGTGCAATCCTGACTTGAGCATTGATTAGAGTTCTAGAATACGACCCTTAGACTCGAACCGTCTTAGATAAAATATATACTGCGCAATTTAGACGCTGAAAGAACTTTCATGAAGAACCACCTGTATATGAATTTATGGACCTTCGAATGTATTAACTATTAACTCTGCCGTCCACTAACTAAACGACAGTGACAAATGGTCAAATATTAAGTGACCTTTTAAATAGCAAAAGATAGAGCACAAAATTAGATTTCATATTTTTTTAAATTACAGTTAAAATTAGTTAACGTGTTCGACTTATCGGAACTTACCCTAACGATGCGTAGCTGAAATATCATTACACAATTTCAATCTAAAACTGGGTTATGTTTTTTTATATCTCGAAAAATTCTTTTGTCACGTAGCCGCGTTTTAGTTAGGGGACGACAGAATTATTATCTATTTTATCCAAACTAATATTATAACGGCGAAGTTTACTCCGTCTGTTATGTTTTCACGCCTAAAACGCTGAACCAATATTGATGTAGTTTGGTATAGAAATAGATAGGACCTAGGAGAACATGGTTATTTTTTGTCACAAACAGAGGATGAAAGTTTGATTGAGGAACCAATCATATTTCATGTAAACGGCAGGCCACACCGTAAACGAAGTTAACCAAAGCTAATTTAGCTTAGCTCACGTAGCCGCAGCATCTATTCATACTTCGGTTCACACCGCGAATAAGCTAACTGAGCTAACAAATCTAAAATATGTCGCCGTTCTGCCGCCATTCACACCATAGTGTAGCACGTCACTACTTAATACGTGTTCTCTTAGCTTAGTTTTGCATGCAACTACGTGAGCTAACCTAAGTTAGTAACCTAAGTATTAATAATAAAAACGCACACCTTCCTAGCCCCGCACTGGAAGGCCCTATATCGCGAGTGGACACACACATAGACAACCACAGATTACACCCAAACTCACGAGAGTAATAAATGTAGGCCATAGGAATATTTCTCCCGACCCCGGGAATCGAACCCGGTATCACAGCGTGATAGTACAGCATGGTAACCGTTCGGCCACGGAAGCAGTCGATATAATTTTTAATCTCATTGACGTACTTTTGTACTATTTCCTCGTGTCATGTATTTGTTATGAAATTACGACGATGATACTTGACGGTGAACAAAATTTGTAATATTATTTAATGAAAACAATATTTATGATTAAATGATTGTTAATTTTATTACTTATGTGTATTTTTTCATTTTAATTATTATTTTTTGACGATCTACGGAAACAAGTTTCTTTTAAAAAACAAATATACGCGAAATATAATTATATATAATAATATAATTAAATCCGGAAAAGAGTTTCATTTCCTGTAGATTTCAATATAATTTCTTATACTTTGACATGTAGTTACACTTAAGAAATAATCTAATCTAAAGTAATCTTTTGATAAAAATATCTAGATATAATCAATATTAATTTTGCAGGTAGTTTCGATTGATATGCGATAAGTGCAAGTCAAGGCGCTTGCAAAAGTAATTAAGATTAATGTTATCTAGAAAATAACGGATAATTTCGTCGGTAAGCTAAATTGATTTCTTTTTACACCAAGATAAGCGGAATTCACACTAAAAAGTTTTCCTTTGACCATGAGATGCGAGTATATCTTTGAGATATAAAATCTGGAACATCTAGTTACCTAGTTTAGATTTTTTGTGATTATTTTGTAGTGCTTGTGATTATTATACATATTGCCATTGGCACACTACGTCTACGTTTTAAAAATAAAACACATGTTCTTGATAGTTACGAAATTTTTAATGGTTAATTTAAAAAAAAAAAAGAAAATATGTTATATAAAAAATTTAAATATCTAAATATGTTTAATGATCAAAAATTTTAATGATCAAAAATTTTAAAAAAGAACTAATCTTGTGTAATCTGATCTGATTATGGTTGATTTTATACATATATTTCGCTTTCGCGCCATTTTTCAAAATTTATTGTGACGTTTTGTTTTGGGACACGAAGCTTAAAAGCGGGACTGTCCCGTTCAAAGCGAGACGTGTGGTCACGATAAAAATACAGGTGTTCCACGACTATGCGTAACGGATGGAAAGTACTTTAAATATTGCAGATAAGATATTTTGCTTCATGAAGACGTTATTTTATTTTTAAAAGTTGTTTGCCTTTTTCAGCTAATGCTTACGAAATTTACAAGAACACAAAATCAACTTCGAACCACTCGACAAACCTGTATTAGTAAGAAAATAAAACACATTAATGAAAAAAAAAAGACAATCAACCTATTTCTCATTTTCAAATTAGAACTTAAATAAAAAAGGAAACTAACAGACGAGACTTGAAAAAAAAAACACTGCATTATTTTGGGATTTTTATTAGCGTTCTTTTTTACTCAAGAGGAACGCTATCGCGGTACAATACTGCGTAGTCGGGTGTTTAGTACCTATTGGTTCACCAGATTTCGCGACGGGAACCTAATAGCTATTTTTGTAACTAATTTGTTTTACATTGACAAGCTGCAAGTTATCAACGCTACTCTAATTTCCGGTGATAACAAACAAATCTACTAGATGGCGCTTATTGCATAGATTTTTTATTTTTTTTAGGCAATCCTAAACAAAATGTCGCGCCATCTACCCATATTAGGAAACGTTAATGTATAAACTAGTTTGTAACACACACTGCCATCTATTGATACGCATACTTGTCAAAGTTCAGAAAATAATAATAATATAACAATAATAATGAATTTATTCTCTTCCACAGTTAAACTTATATCCATTACATCAAATACAGTGTATACTTTTTATTGTGGAAGACTGGTGCTCAAACTAGGTAAACCCTGAATTATGAACCTTTGCGGAACAAATTTGAAATCAGGAAACAAAACAAAAATTCTGTGGTAAAGTTAAAACTACTACATAAATAGTTAAGGTTAAAAAAATAATTTTAACTTTTTTAATTTTTGAAATGTTAGAAAATCATTTTAACTTATGATCAATAAATGAACAAAATTACAAGGGAAAAAAAACTGCCTTCTTATATTTCATATTAAAGAGGAATTAATTAAAATCCACGGCCATTGAAATAATATAAACTACTTTCAAGCTATAAATCAGCGCCATGTAGATATAAGACGGAGTTTTTACCTTTTTCAGAGTTACGATCTGTAGTTTGGCGATTAGCAGTCTTGTTGAGTTATTGGTCCATGATTTACGTAGTATTCATTTAATACTCTTTTACTTAAAAAATAATTTAAAATAATACTATTTTACTCTTTTATTTAAAAGAAACGGTAAATAAAAAGTAAAGAAGAAAATAAATTTCTTCCTTTAAGGAAAAAATTTAAACGACAACCGCGTAAAGGTTATTTGGTTCTTAGTTATACTTCCGTGGCTGAACGATTACCATGCTGGTCTACCACGCAGAGGTCCCGGGTTCGATTCCTGGGCCGAGAGAGATATTTATAGGGCCTACATTTTGTTCTCTCGTGGGTTTGGGTGTAATTTGTGGTAGTCTATGTGGTATCCATGGCACCCGCGATACAGGGTTTTCCTAGTGCGGGGCTATGAGTCCTTGCGTTATTATTATTATGTACCTAGTGAAGAGTTTAGTAGGTTTCAGTTTAGTTTTCCCTTTAGAAGGTATAATTTAAGGCAGAATATTTAATTCGAACTACTGTACTGTATACAACCAATACGTAGTAAGTAATACGGTTTAAAATAATTTCTATACACTCACTGTTCTATATTTGAAAAGAGGAGAATTTGAAATGGCAACAAATTTCGCCAAGATCCAAGATATTTAGAAACAAAACAAAAACACGTGGTGACCACAGACCACGTGTAAGTGACAAAATAACGAAAAAAAAGAAATATTGTACCTGCTCTGCCAGGGAGTTATGACGTTATCATCAGGACCACCAATCAGGACTAGTCGTTGCAGTCTTAGGAGATTCGATTTAAAGTCTGTCGATTTCGCTGATCTGGAAACAAGAAAGCGATTTTGAAAATTTGCACTTTATTATTCTTTTAAGTGCTTACTTAATTTTAGGTGTTGAATAACTGATCAAATATTTTTAAATAACGATTTTTTTTTTTCTAAATTTTATTAATAATTTTTTTAAGAAATATTAGAAAAATAAATGAAATATTATACACATTTTATAATATACATATTAACACTTGTCAAATATATATATTAACTGTATAATGTACATATTAACACTAAATGATTATCACTAATTAAAGGTGTGTTGCCACAGTATAACCTCTTTTTATGTTCCCGATATTTCGGTATGGTTACACACTCCATGGTCACGGGTCGTAACACTCAAAATTTTGAAAAAATAAATGAAAAGCCATACAGTTATAACACATCTGTAAGTAATGTTGATCATTTGAAAAATATATTTTTTTTTCCAAAAAATGGATTTTTGATATGGAAATTTGTCCTTGACTCTACACTAGTTCGGAGTTCTTCAACATGTCAATAGTTTGTACATGAACAAACAGCAAAGAAACTCTACTTTCCCTCGCTTTAGTTCGAGTGTCTATTACTCCGAGGGTTTACATTGGCTTTGAGTCTCGAACTTTACTTTGCACTTCGATTGAGAAAAAAAATATTTTAATCATTTTCGCTCTACAACAAAATCACAAACCAAAATTATAATTTTCGCGGTATTTTTTTTCCAACCAGACACAGATACGACAAACGCACTAACGCGGGAAAATAATATGGCGCCACCGTCTATGCGGAAAAGGCACGGAACTAAAATCGAGCGTAGGGGAGAGCGGGGCTGAACGTTCCGATTTTCAAATAACTTGCAGTTTTATACTGAAAATGAAGGATTTGATTTTCAACATGTGGAAATGTTGAACAACTCTTTACCGCTTTTTGTAAAAGTATACTCGCTTCTACTAATATCTCAATAGTCTTTTTCATAGAGGCAAATTTTTGACAAATTTCGGAACGGAACATTCAGCCCCGCTTTGGGGCGCGTTGTTCCGCCTTTGACGCAAATTGTTCCGCATAAATTATGACAGGATAACAAGGATTTTCTTAAATAAAATCACCTATTTTATAATTGTACGTATGTAATGTTTATATTACGCACAACTAACTTAAAAAAAAAACAACTACATTCTTATTCATCAGTAATATTATTCATCGCTCATTTCTTCATCAGAATCACAGTTGAGACACACATAAGTGACTCTATCATCTTGTTTAAATATTTGACATGAGCCTGTTTGTAGTTTAGCATCCTTAAAACAAAGAAAAACGGTCATAAAAATGTTAAATATAATTGCAGGTCAATTGGGGAAGTTGTTCCTAGGAACAACCAGCCCCTCGAGAGAGAGAGAGGAACTTATAGCCCCAAATTACGTTTTTATACGAAGACTGACATACCGGCAAAGTAATAGAATCAATCAAAAAAATACTCAAACAATAAGATTACTTACTAATGTCACTGCAATTTAGAAAAGTTACGTATGAATCGGTCCATAATAAACAAAGACAGACCAAAAAATTTAAACAAGAAAAAATTTACTTACGTGATATTTTGACAGCTCCACGCACAGAGCCACACGTCGTCGCTGGAGTTACTGAAATGGCTGCCGGCGAGACGCATCACTTGACGCTTTAACGACGCGCTTCACATGTATTGCTACATATTTTCCTTGCAAACTTATTGCTGTGAGAACAACTTACCCGGGAACTACCAGTCCCGGTCTCTCCTGCTATGACTGTTTGAGTTTGTTCACTCGGAGTAAATTAAAAAATTAGTACTTTTTACTCCCTATGGATTAAAGGATGCACTTTACTCCCGCTACATTGATATACTTTTAGAGCATGTAAAGTGAAAATAGTTATTTGGCCGCAAAGTTGTTGCAGTAGCGTAGCGAGGGTTTCAAGGCACAAAACGCAAAAAACTTTGCTGCCGGGCGAAACACACTATTTTTCACCTAAAAAATAGCGAAACCTTAGCGTGCCAAAAACGCTTTTGCGCGCAAATTTCTAATGAGAAAGAAAGCCTTTCCGAGTTAGTGACGCGAAAAATAATTTATTAATCGGCCTTGAATTATTATTAATATGCTAACACTACATAAGGGTGTATTGTATTAATTTATTGCGCCATTGTTTAATAACCAATTATCCTAAACTGGTACCAATAAAGCCCGCTTAAAGAAGATTAAAATTAAAGGAATAAAAATTATCAGACGGTATAAAATTATTTACAAGTTCAATGACACTGCGATTTTTTTTATAGGAAGCCGATTCATTCTTTGATATTTATCAGTTTGTTTGATTAGTTGTTAATTTGTGAAATCGTCCGGGTATTACCCCGATGTTTAATAGGTAGTTACTGTAGAATTTGTTTATTACTGCAAAGTTTAGCAAATGGTAATGTAGTAAACGCAACAAATAATTATAGCAAAAAAATTTTTTTTAATAATAATAAAGTACCAGACAACCACACCAGTTGCTGATCTCAAACTAGAGAATTTTTAATAGCAGTAGAGCTCCTTGTGAAATACTGCCACCTTACCTATTTCTGCCGCCAAGAAGTATTGTCAGCATTACTGCGTTCCGGTTTTGAATGGTGAGGGTGCTGGTCAAATTATAGGCACATGAGACTTGTCAACTTACGTATCAGGGTGACGGGGCAGTGGCAGTGCCCCTCAGATCTTTACGATTTAAAGCTCTGTATTATGTTTTAAGTTTTCTGATGTACACTTAAATATTTCCCATATTTTTATAGATTTATGCAGAGCAGAAATTCGAGACGGGTCCGAAGGCTACCTTAACCGTCATTTTACAGAAAAAGGTCCTGAAAGATACGCAAGGCATTTTTTCGACAGATTTTGAAGAAATGGCACAGAAAACTTTCACAAAACTTTTTTTATTCCATTCAAACCAACAGGTTACCAGATCCTTACCAGAAACATTCTGGTAAGGATCATGTCTGGAATAAACGTGCAGAGAAAGGCTACAAACTCATAACTCTCTTTTTTGTGTCGGTAGTTAAAAACAAAACATATTATACTAACAAAAATTCGCAATCAGAGATATCTTAATTGCACATACATATATTTGTTACACCGTTGAATGAACTATTAGTTTTATACAAAATAATAACTGATCATTCAATAAAAGACAAATGCCATAAAAATTCAGGTTCCACCGAGATTTGAACTCGGATCGCTGGATTCAGAGTCCAGAGTGCTAACCGTTACACCATGGAACCGCCTGTCCTTTCGTTCGAAATTAGCCAACACTACAATGTTATATTTATTTGATCAAGTGTAATGTATATTGTATTAATTAATAATGACGTTTGAGAATAAATAAACAGACGTCAATACAATGTCGTATGATCTATTGACCTAAATTATAAGGTCAAAAATAACAAACAACAAATGATGCACAACATACTAACAAACTATATATACACTTGGCGTCTTGGCAATGATCCATATTCTGTAAGTTAAGCTTTTTCAATGTATATTATGGTAGACTGTGAAACGCGTTATTGTAACGGAAGAACGGCAGTTAGAATACAAACGTGAAGCAGCTTTGGTGCAATCAAGAATGTTTATATTACACATACCTTTGTTACACAGATGATAACGCACACACTCATAGCCCCGCACTAGGGAGACCGGGTATTGCAGGTGCCATGGACACACACATAGTGGTTGTCTATTTACAAATTACGCCCTAACTCGCGAGAGAAATAAATATGGGCCATACACATATTTCTCCAGGTCTGGGAATCGAACCCAGGACCTCTGCGTGGCAGTCCAGCACGGTTACCATTCGACCACGGAGGCTGTGTTTTTTATTGTTATTGAGTACTATTCGACATGTAGTTCTATCCATCACTGGCAACTGATCAGAGTTGCGAGGGATGGATGGTCCTTATTTCGTGTCTATTTCTGGTTATATACTCGATGGTTATTCGTGTACTCATCTAAATAAATTACATCCATTCAAGCTAAACGGGTGGATTTTTGAGATTTGTGATATTCACTGATTGATTTAATTTTTTCATGTTAATTACACTAACGCTCCGTTTTTCACAAAAAAAAAACATCTTACTCAATGTATATAAATACTTTTTTCTACACACGTATCATGAATAGCGATGGGTTTTACCCAATAAATATCCGTCAAAGGATAAATATCCAATATACCCGTTTTTACTGAGTTACCCTAAAACATGGATAAATATTTTTTTGTGTTTTTTATAATAAAATTCATTAGAACTAATTTTTTATTAAATAATTAGCGATTATTTCTCATTTTGCCATTGTTTTATGTAAGGGCGCCCTATGACAGGCGAGCATTCGCTTGTGAACATTCGTTTTTGAGCATTACATTACAAACTACCTCCGTCACCGACGAGCATTCGCTTGAAAAGATTCGATTAGGCTGCGATTCCACCAGAGATGTGCGAGTTAGCAAGCCGTGCGTGCGAGTGCCCGCGAGAGCTCGCGAGTACCCACGAGAGCCAGCGAGTGCCTTTGAGTGCCCGCGAGAGCCAGGAGTGCTTTTCATTGCCTTTGAGTCTTTTTGAGTACCAGCGAGTGCTTTTGAGTGCCCGCGAGTGCCTTTGATGGGTTTGAGAGCCCGCGAGTGCTTTTGAGTACTAGCGAGTGTCTTTGAGAGATTTTGCGTGCCATTGTGTGCCATTGAGTGCCTTTGAGTGCAAAGACTGTCTTTGAGTACTAGCGAGTGCCTTTGAGTACTAGCGAGTGCTTTTGAAAGCCTTTGAGTGCCAACGTGTGCCACTGAGTGCCTCGGAGTGCCCGCGAGTGCTTTCGAGTGCCTTTAAGTACTAGCGAGAGCCTTTGAGTGCCTGTGAGTACTATCGAGTGCCTTTGAGTACTAGCAAGTGCTTTTGAGTGCCTACGAGTGCCTTTGAGTGCCGGCGAGTGCCTTTGAATGTCTTTAAGTGCTAGCGAGTGCCTTTGAGTGCCAGCGAGTGCCTTTGAGTGCCAGCGAGTGCCTTTGAGTGCCAGCGAGTACTTTTGGGTGCCTTTGAGTGCCTTTAAGTGCCCGGGAGTGCTTGCGAGGGCCTCGAGTGTTTTTGAGTGCCTTTGAGTACTAGCGAGTACTTTTGAGTGCCAGCGAGTGCCTTTTGATTGCTTATGAGTGCCCGTGAGTGCCTTTGAGTGCCAGCGAATGCTTTTGGATGTCTTTGAGTGCCCGGGAGTTCCCGCGAGTGCCTATAAGATAATTTAGTGTGCATTTGAGTGCCATCGAGTGCCAGCGAGTGTCTTTGAGTGCCTTTGAGCTAGCGTACGTATTGGTACGTATTGGTATACTAGCGTACTCAAAGGCACTCGCTAGATATATATGTCTACCTATAGTCTACGTATTGGTTTAGTACGAGTTAGTTTCGCCCATGGGGACTAGATGGCGCTATTTTAATGAAAACCACAGGATGGCTATCTATACTTTAGTACTTATACTCATCTATGAACTGATGCGAAGTGCGCGGACTGCAGACCTCATCTAAGGCGTGGAGTTGCAGACACAATTCTCCTAAGCGGCTGTCTCCGTCTAATTTGCACTCATGTAAATTAGTCGGTAGTGAATTTAGGCTCTGGCAAAATAGTGGCCAAGTGATTTTGAATTGAATTTTCTTTGTACTAGAATTATTTATCGTTATAGTATTTCCAATGAAGTCTGTACAGTTTTTTAAAATAGAATATTGAACAACCAAAAACCCTTATATTCTATATACGAAGCTGAACTGTACAATAACGGACTAGCTTAGTAATTTGAAAATAAAAAATCCTTGCAAAATGTTAGACAGCTGTTTAATATTGTGTGTAGACGTTTTTTTTAACAAACTACGCATTATATGTATATATTCAATTCGCAATAATAAGACTCACGCAAAAATACAGGGATTTACGGTACTTAAACGTATTCTTTTTATCACTGCGTATAGGAAACAAGGTATAACAAGCAATATACTATACGTACATGCTACTAAATTGTATGTCTACAATTAAGCTTAAAAATATACTTTGTTTTACTATATAAATAATAAGCCACGATTAAAAATATTTATCCGCGTTTTTGGATAAATATCGAGTGAAAATGGATAAATATGGATATTTATCAATATTTATCTTTCTACTGAGTATTTATCCCAATGATATTTATCCATGAACCTTCTATGATGTGTTCAAAAACCGCAAATTACGACCAACGAAAAAAGTTAAACTGTTTTGTTAGAACAAATTTCTTATCTGTGAAAATGTTATTATTTATTCATAATAACATCAAATTTGATGTTATTAATACATTCAAATTTCAAATATCTCTGAAAAAAAAATCAATTTGATTCGACCTCAATTCTAATATCAGTCGAGATGAAGTTTTATTCGAAATGAAATGTCAATAGCAAACAATTTTGACAAATTTCACACGATACTTGATATCGAATGATATGATAGTTGGGGCCGACTCTAGTTTGTCTATTATTAAAAAAAACTACAACATATAATGTAATAAAGCAAAAATCTCGCAACTAACTTATAGACAGGTACAAAAAATATGTCATAAAATAAAGCAGTGTATTGTAGCTGCACATAATTAGGCATTAAAACACTCGTGTGATTCTATTCTCTATGATGTGTTTTTACTCCCACAATCGTATTTTAATGCCTTTCATTATGATACAGTCACACAAACTACTATATTGTGCTATAAAACAAATTATACAAGTTGACAACTTATAAAATTTATAGTAATAACGTGTACACACTCATAGCCCCACACTAGACTAAACCCTGTATCGCGGGTGAAATAAATATAGGAAATACAAACATTTCTCCCGGCCCGGGAATCGAACCAGTGCCCTCTGCGTGGCAGTCCAGTATGGTATCCGTTCGGCCACGGATTCAGTTATATGGACCAATGTAAGCCTATCCCGGAAAGGGATTTTATTCCAACAAAGTGCATAGTTGGTTGGTAATACCATATAAAAAAATAAATAAAGAAATGAACACTACATTCTCAATAACAATAAAAAAAAGACAAGTTACTTAAATTACAAGTATAAACAAATACATACATTTATAATAAATATTGTTTTTTATGATACCAATGACGGGACGAACAGTCGTGTGTCTGGCGGTCACACACCGGTCCATATCAGTTGCAGTGCCACTCACGGCCACCCGTTACCCCGAGACATAAGTTGACAAGTCCCATGTGACTGCAATTTCACCAGCACCCTTACCCTTCCAAACCAGAACACAATAATGCTCACATTACTGTTTGGCGGCAGAAATAGGTAAGGTGGCAGCACTTCTCTGGACGAACTCTTATACAAGGAGCTCTACTGCTACTAAATATATAAAATAAATTATGATATTTTTAAATAAAAAGTAGATGAACAATAAACTCTTGAAAATATTCTTTTGAACCCATTGACTTACAATTATATGGACGTCGGGTCCGCGCTAAAAAGTGTCCGCACTTGTAAGGCGCTAAAATCGTATACAGAGCGCGACACTCCGCTTTAGTCTTCATTTGTTCTACTGACAGCGCGATACTGCGATGACATTACAATTTAAATTTCGAATAGGTTGACTTGGGACATTTTTTTCGTGGTTTTTGTATTAGACCCGTCGTCCATTTATTTGTAAGTCAATGTTTGAACCTCGAAACGGAGGCGCTAGTGTTGATTTGTAATATTAGTAGAAAAAAGAAGTGATCAAAAATTCTGCAACACGGTAACGGATCACACTAACTGGTCAAGAATTAAACATGTATAAAACTGTACTTACGAAACATGATTGTTGATATAGGGCAAATAGACACTGTAGGTTTCATACAGGTTCTGATGATAAGGGTCGTTCCAGTAGTTGCCTACTGATGTATGCTGCCCCACTCGTGAGTAAAAGAGCTCGAACGCTGTGTCCTTAACTAGACCAGGAAAGACAAGGTGAAGGAAGCCGGCTGGAAAGAGATTGGACAAATTTAAAATAACTAAATTATATAACAAGACATATTTTGGTGTAGTAAAAGATTCTAAATGAACACTTCGAAGTCTCAAATCTAACGTATGTACAATCTTTAGGGTCCAATCCAGTTGCTCATTTAAAACCTCAGAATCTTATATAAGATGACGCTCATTTGAGACTTTTTAAGTGCTCATCTAAGCTACGTAATAAAACATCTAGTGTTAATTTACGACTTCAAATATTCTTCTAGACATTAAGATTTCAATGAAGCAAAAGTAATCGTAGTAAACACCCTGACGAGACTTTTAGTAGCAGTGGCGCCCCTTGTGAAACTGTTCGTCCGGGGAATTACTGCTACCATAACTATTACAGCCACCAAACAGTAATGTGAACTTTACTACTTAGTAAGGGCGCGTTCCCATTATGTCGTGACGACAGACAGTTGCAGTTTAAAGTGTCGTAGCTTGTATATTTAAATGAAATTGTTCACACAAAAAACAACACGATTAACTATCATTCACGACTTTTTTGACAGACTGTCATGACAATGGGAAGAGCTAGAAAGGCAGTCGTTGGACGATAAATAAAACGTCACGATAAAATTCTGACGACAGTCTGTCGTGCGAACGACAAGGCCGATGAATTGTCATCACGATCTATTGGGAACAGTTAGATACGACAGTCGTTCAAAGATAAAATAAACGTTCGCGACAGATAGTCGTGATATGGGAACAGGAGACTGGTGCAGTGGCAGTGCCCCTCAGACAATGGTCTACTTACTACAGAACTTTAAATAGCAATGGCTATTTAAAGCTCTTTGTGGCACTGCAACTGTTATCGATTTGTTCGTCCAGTCACTTGATATAATAAAAATAAAATAGCTACATGAGCGTAAATTCAGCATGTCGCAGTAAATTAAAACTGTGCGTCATTGCTAAGTGAAACTCACAAGTACTCACAATTACGCAACGTTGTAACACAAAGTTTATATCGGACGCGCATTATTGACATCAGTGTCACATTATAACTATTATAATAAGCTATGAATCAAACATACGATGCGTGCATGCGTGACAAAATCGGCAGTTCGGTGGATTCACTTCAGCATCCTCGAAATACATGAGTTATATGTGTATAGAGTTAATTAAGATTATTTTTCAAACCATCCCCATTGTCATATCTCATTCCTATAATAAGATATCCAGGATGTTTATTGAAAATACAGAAGAAACAGACTAGTCCAGTCGTGTACAGCAATTGGCATGTTCAGTTAAACCCTAACACGAATCTACCATCTGTCAGTCCGCGTCCGTCAATCCGTCAGCTGGCCAACCACATTCAGATGTTCCATCCATTTATCGCCTCTAACTAACTGTTTTTTCATATTAAAAATAGTGACAGATATAACATTAGTACGAGGAATAAAAATAAACTTGCTGTTCTTGACAGTCGTCTTCATAGTCTCAAATTCATTTAAGAGGCAATGTATACGCTTCAATAATAAGATTCTGATTAATATTCAAAATTTGTCGTTTACGAGGTTTAAAAACTGTTACGAAACAAAAACTTTATACTAAAGGTTATTATTATACAACTTCTGCGTACTTGCATGACAAAAATCCTTGGTAGTGACCCGTTTAGCACTTTCAAGTTTTCACGGTCTAAGATGTTTAAATGAAATATAGTAATGATAAATGTATTCAAATGTAATTTACAAAGAGCATCCCCTAGAGTTTTTTGCTTATTCTTCTCAGGGGAATCTGCCTTACAAATGAGAGTAGAGTTTAATCAGTATGATGATTTCAAGTGTAATTTGCTTACCTATGAAATAAAGATTATTTGACTTTAATGCTTTAAATTACTGGGCTTATTAAGACATAAAGCTCCGCATGTACTTAACAGTATTAATGTTATTATTTCCAACAATGAACTGTTGAAACTGAATGTGAATTAAATGAATACATATACCTCGGTGGTTTAACAGTTAATACCGTGGGCTCGAAATGAGCAGGGACCTTTTCTTACACTTCAAATATAACAAAGAAAAAACCTATATACTGAAGCAGGTTCACAAAATCTAAAATTAGACGATGTCTATGTCCCAACGGTATGCATACTGGGCGCTGAATGTTGGTCTCGGTAGGACTAATTTAGGAACCGGGCGGCGTCGTGGTGAATGTTCACTGATCCCACGGCGCCGACTCAACCGGCGAGAGGGAAACCCGAGGGGGTTTTAGTGGGGTGGGCCCTCCAGTCTGGAGGGAGAGTCCCCACACAACCCCTGAGTCTCACTGGGCTCAGGGATATCCATAAAGATTTCCTCCCCGTCAAAAAAAAAAGGACTAATTTAGGAAACGTTTTTCGATTGGTCTCGCGCGATAAAGTTGACATAAGCGCGCCCTATAGGCTATCTAAATTAGATCAGATTGAGACAGCCACTAGCGTGTCGCGACTATCATGCGTAGCCATGTTACGGGGGCAAGTTAAGTTAAAGGTCGCGCAGTGAGCTATGGAACGAACTGTGTTCGGAGTTTCTTTGACGGACAAGATCCGAAATGAGGTTATTTAACAGAGAACCAAAGTCGTGGATATGACTGGTAGAATAAGCAAGTTGAAGCGGAAATGGGCTGGCCATACATTTATTTATTTTTTATTTTTTTTTTTTCATTTTATTTATTTTGGAAACATACAGCATCATATAATACATTTTATTTTTAACGCATATGAAACAAACACTAGCTAAAACAGTTTCCACTAATGTTCAAAATACGTTACATTGGATAGACAAATCTGTACATAGCTACAACCAGGCAACAACTAACATAATTATTTACCACTAAGAAACAAATTATAAATAACTTTTAATTATAAATTAAATTTATTACTATGATGTTCAATTACCATGATATTCAATTAAGTGAAATTACTCCACTAGTTTGTTATAAGTATTAATACAAAGATCGAACACTAAGAAAAATTCCTTTGATCGATTAAGAATTATGTTAACAAAAGGTTCCTAATGGCAGATTTGAGCCGGAATGGCTTATTGTCAAATATATTAATTTCTTGATATTCGTTATTAAATTGAGTACAAGGCCGTACAAGGAACATATTTTTAGAGTAATTAGTGCGACAATGAGGTATTGCAAATGGGCCTCGCGGACGTAGGTTGGGTCTTGAATTAATAAGTATATAATCTAATAATATAAAATTTGATCTCTAAGCTCGCTCCGTTTTTGCAAAGATATAATTTTTGTAGGTTTAAATTTCCAATATTTATATTTCGAACATTTATATTCATATCTGTCGAAGAACCATCAACCGATTGGAATTCTTGAGAGGAAACCGCGGCTACGGCTCCGCAAACGTAGTGTGGTACGCCCTCTAGGCAATGAATTTCGTTACTCTGGAACTATGAGTGCCAGAGTAACGAAATTTCATTTCGATTTACAAGGAATTTTCCTTCTTTGAAACCAGGCAGTTGGAGTGGTTGTCTAACACTATTACCGTTACTAAATCTCCAAGAACAAACAATATGTAAGAAGGGTGATGGATTGATGGTCGATGATGCAAGAATATGCTGGTTGAATAGCTCAACTGTGAATGAGTCCGTTTCAAGTGTTAGTTTTTCAAAAATAGTTATTAAATATTACCTCCATACTGGCCGGCCTGTGGAGAGCTGAGAGAAATAAATGTATCTATTGATATGTTCGGGAAGGTCTGCACTATGCCGCGTGCTACCAGTCCTCCTTGGGAATAACCTGAAAAATGTAAAAAAATAATAATGTAAAGAATATAAATATATAAAGTATATAAATTTTAATACTTTCATGCCTACACACTAAATGATTGTGAATAGAAAATTAAATTTAAAAATACATAAAAAAAAAAAAACAAAATAAATTATGTCGGGAGAACAAAAAAAAAATATCGTGATAGAAACCTATACTTAGTGACAATTGTTTAACAATGTAAACATTAATTAACCTAACAACATACCAATTACAAACAAAACAACCTACATCTTCCACTGGGAATGTACATATAAATCATATGTATCAATAATTACAAAAAACAAACTGTTTATTTTAAAAAAGGTTACGATTCTTTGCGTGGGAGGGATCTAGGATAACAATAAAGCGCTCACTATAGATATTTCAGGTTAGTTTCTAACTATGAAAAAAGTGAACAATTTTTTTTCACAAAAAGTAACTCAAACGTTTCTTATTAGTTCTTCCCAAAGACACAAATGAGTAATAGTGTTGTGTATATCAATATAAAATGCAAAATTGTTTTCACACTGATTATACATTATTGTCATCCTGATGAACCGCCAGCTGTTAAATTAATCTGAATAATAGGTAAAAATCCCATTTACCAGACCAGACTGATCATTAATCCCACCAACGGGAATCACTGATTCGAGTATAATTTGCATACTTAATTTAATAAACATAATAAATGAAACTATTTTTCCGGATTTAAATCGCGTATATTTGTTTTTTCAAACAAACCGACGTTTCGGGCCCTTTTACAGGTCCCATGGTCACGGTTGACCAAGGGACCTGTAAAGGGCCCGAATATACGCGATTTAAATCCGGAAAAATAGTTTCATTTCCTATGTGTAACAATCGCGAAAACCTAAGAACTCGATATTAATAAACATAATTTGATTTTTAGAAACAAAACTAAAACTACTAATTATTTGTCAAATGCTTATACTCCGAAAGAAGGAACAATTGTAATAAAGTATATACATATATATTGCAAATGATTCGCTAAATTTTTCAGAAATATGTAAAATTTCCGATACGAATTGGCATTATTGTTTATCATTATTGTTTATCAGATATTTTATTTAATTATGGGTCAAAAGGTGAATCATCTTGGCAATAAAAAGTTACTTCATGAATATTTAATAATTATTGCCAAGTCAAGTATTGTTGAACGAAGTCTTAACAAGGCAAGGTGACCTCACTTGGATGTTATTGACTTTATGAATTACTTTGTTATTTCACGTTTACCAATCAAAATAATATGTAAAGTGCGGTTACATGACAGAGAAAGAATACTGTGATCCGTGTACGATGTGATATTTGAAATAGGACGTGGTAACACATGGAAAGGACAAATGAATGAAAATATTGTGGCGAAAGAGAAAGGCAACACTGGCAGAGAAAGTCCACGAAGAATGTTTTCGGATCAAATCGAGATGTTCTTACAGAGAGTGAAGCAGACAGTGAGAATGATAAGAGAGGTTGTATAAGATTGATGAATGTAAATGAAGCATGAGGTTTGTTAGGATCGTCCAAAATGGCGATCGAAAGTCTCTACCTACCCCAATGGGCTTGAGTATATGTATGTATAATTACGATATGCAATGCCAATACTACACAGTGCCGTATAGAACAGCTGATTGGTTTTAGCCGAAAGGATGCTCCTGGGAACAATTTTAGAAACCCCAGCTAGCAAATTAGAACTAACGGCCCACATAAGTAAAACATTAAACTACAGCTAGTCTGTAAATAAGATATTTTGTAACAGACATTAGTAACATATCCGTCCTTGAAAACATGTAACCAAAATAAATAATACTATCTACTCCATATGGATTATATAATACCGAGTCGATTGAGAGCGTCCGGTGTACACCAAGGTGCAAAGGGCAACTGACCGAAATCCGACGACAGCCGAAACACGAAAATTGCTATGGGCGCGTTCCCATTATGTCGTGACGACAGATAGTCGTGCAGTTTATAGTGTCGTGGCTTGTATATTTAAATGAAGTTTTTCACATATAGCACAACACGATTAAATGTCGTTCACGACTTTTTTGACGTAACGACGACAGACTGTCGTGTCAATTGACAAAACTAGAACGACTGTCGTCTGACGATAAATAAAACGTCACGATAAAAATGTCGTGCAAACGACAAGGCGGCTGCGGTGAACCGATAAATTGTCGTCACGATCTAGTGGAAACAGCTAGACACGATAGTCGTTCAAAGATAAAATAAACGTCCACGACGTAATGGGAACGCGCCCTAAGTTTTTAAGAAAATCGTTCACTTTTTTTTTTTTTTTTTTTTTTAAATAAATGTTGATTATTTGCCTTGGCCATACAAAAAACTCCCTGGAATGAATTACATGAACAACTCTCACTAGCATTTAATTAAACTAACATGCTCCACAAACTAGTCACAAAGAATTACATGAGGCGTTAGCTAATATATTGTTGCAGCTGATTTATATTGTGGCCTTATGTAAGGTAAAATGTACACATTACAATTTATGCACAGATTTTACACTATGCCATTTTGATGAAGATTTTTTACAAGTTAGAGGAAACTCATCGTAATGCCATAGTACAGATACATCAATATTATTGCTCAAAGTAACCCTAGCAATCGTCCTATAGTGCTGTGATATTTAATTAAACTACCTATGCTAAAGTTACATTATGTGAGGTTAGAGTAAATATCCATGTAAATGGATAATTGAACTACTGGTGCGCACACTGCACACCAGGCCCAGCATGCATATGCTCCTCATCATCACTAGCATATGCCTCTTCTCGGCCACGGTTTCGTTCACTAGCAGTGTACTCCATCAGATTAACTTCTTCTACGTCATCACCAGTCGGCATAACAAAGGCTGGTCGTGGTGGCAGTATACTTTCAATTTTTTTCAACTGCTCCTCTGAAGCAAAATTGTTTTCAGGGAAAACTACATCAAATTTAATGTACATGTCACTGTAAATGTCACTGTACTGTAAGTCTAAGAGAAAAATAATCCATTCTAAAATTTTGTAATAAGAAAGACTGCTGCGCTACGGTAGGAAATCGATGTTCCGTCTAACATATATACAAAATATTCTACATATGTCCATGACTTGCCGCACATACCCCTGAAAACAATAGGTAAGTATCCTCATGCCGATACGAATTGGGATATACTGTGTTAGGTTCTGAAATGAGTCTCACCGATTACATTAATCCCCTCAGGATGCAGTGAAGAGTAATTTGCAACATCGTTCCCTATCTCCAGAACTTGATGCCACATAGTCTCCAGGCTGGACCACCCTTCAAATCTGTTCACATTGTAGATTATTGTGCCTGGATGTTTCTGAAAACATAGGAAATATAATTTTTTGTGCACAAAAAATACACACGTTGCGTCACACGTCGTAGCCAAAACATGTGAATAATAATTAGTGATAAGTGTTTTATTTTATTATTATATATGTACTTAGTCTTTAAGGTATGTATTTATGGGTCTTTGTCACTATAAATAATTAATTAATGAAATGAAATCTTTTATTTCAGGCAATGATTTCATTGCCTGAAATATAGCCCATAGACAAAGTGTTAGTAAACAATTAAAACTTAGACTATTGTTAGTACATACAGCACAAATTAACCTAACCTTATTTTATATACAAAAGAACCGATTTGATTTGCCCAATCCAATACCATAGGATTGGGCAATCAAATCTGCCTGCAATCGTTTTCAGGATGCTGTTGGGACTCTTTCTGACACGAGTCAAGAGGGAGACGATCTTTTTCTTCATCAGTGCATGAAAGCCATCTGTGTGCGCCTCGGCAAACATACCTGACGCACTGCACCATCGTGGCAGCCCCAACAGCATCCTGAACGCGTTGTTGTACTGTACGCGTAGGGCGTTATATGCTCGCTTTGTGTACTTGACCCACAGGCCGCTCGTGTAAAAAGATTGGCTGTATGCCTTAAATAACACGATTTTTACGTCGTCTGAGCATCTTGCGAACCTGCGGGCCAGCATATTACAACGCACAGACAACGCCCTACGCTCTCTCTCTATATCCTGGTCATCACACAGGTCATCCGTCAGTATGTGACCAAGATACTTCACCCTTTGCACATTTCTAAGCACAACCCCACCAAGAGCGACGGGCGGTATGTAATAAGGCTTAATTTTGCCCGCCTTGAAGACCATAATCTCGCTCTTGGCAGAGTTGTACACCAGACCATGTGCATTCGCATAGACTTCGCACCTTTGCACCAGTTCCCTGAGCGCTCCAATGGACGGACTCAGCAGCACCATGTCATCGGCGTAGCTTATATTGTTGGCGCACATGCCTTCAATATGACAACCCGCATGCATACTGCTGAGCCCAGCCACCAGGTCATTTATGTACCAGTTGAACAGCGCCGGAGACGATAAGCCCCCCTGCCTCACCCCACACTCCATCCTGTATTCATTGGACAAGGCCTCCGCCCATCTCACCTGGTTCGATTGATTGTGATACCAAAATTTTAAAATGTTGACACAATCAACCGGTACGCCCGCTCCCTCCAGCTTCTGCCACAAGATGTTATAATTGACTCTGTCGAATGCTTTTGATAGGTCCAGGAAGCAGGCGTAAATAGGTGTCTTTCTGGCCGTGTAGTACTGGACAGTATGCTTCACACACAAGATGGCACTTTCCGTAGACAGCCCCGCCCTAAACCCAAACTGGGCGTCATGAAAGTTGAGCTGACCATCCAGTATGGAGTTGAGCATACTGTCCAGTATTTTGGCCGCTGTTGTAGCAAGTGAGATGGGCCGATAGTTTGCCTTTTCCGATAGGTCGCCTGTTTTATTTTTAACGATGGGGACAACTATGGTCTTCATGAACGCAGCAGGCAAGTATGAGTGACCCACGCACAGGTTCAGGAATACGGAGAGCACCCGAGGCAAGTGAACGCCTGCGTACCTAAAATGCTCTATACTTAGGCCATCATGTCCCGGCGATTTCCCCCTCTGAATTTTGTTTATGACAGTGGCTATCTGTCTTGGCGTGAAGTGCACGTCACATAGGCTCCCGAAAACCCCACTTGGAGGCACTGATCCTGACACCGATGATGCATCATGTATCAAGGATTTCACGGTGAAGTGTTCCCTGAACAATTCTGCAATATTTTTATGCTCAAACTGCCCCCCCACACTCACAGGCAGGCCAGGCCTCGCATTCATATTCTTAGTTAGTTTCCAAAAATCTTTAAACTTTTTGCTATTGTGAGCCAGAGCAAGCTTGTCCATTTTAAGCTGCTCCTGACGGCCTTGGCACCACTTTAGTTTAGCTTTAAACACTCTTCTGCTCTCATTCATCATGTCGAATATCCTACCACTACGAGGCTTACCAGCATTTTCCCAAAGAAGGAAGTGTGACCTAGCCTCCCTGTGAGGTCCAGAAACAAATTTGTTCCAACCGGCCACATAGCCACCCCTTTTCCGCTTTTTAGTCCTATACGTGTTTTTAGAGGCAACAGCAAGGATGTCTATAATGTCGTCATACAACCTGTCTATTATATTATGGTGACCACAATTTCTGCATGTCCCTCCACAACAGTCACGTAGTTCAACTGGCATATCTATCACTCGTAAACGGTTAGTGCAAAGGTCACGATAGAGATCTATTTGTTCACTTAGTCGTTCACCCCACAGCACCCCGTTGTCTATTGTACGACTAAATGACGCTTTACAGGTAGATTTCAACTTATCAATGTTACATTCTACGAGCATAGGAAAATGGTCCGACCAGAAAACGTCATAAATTACCGCAACACTAAGGATAGTGACCCAAGCACTTTTCGTCACCAAACAATGGTCTAACCGCCTCCTACACCCGTGAATATCACTCACATATGTGAACGTATTCACGCCTAGTCCAATTTTTTCAACACCCGCACAAGTCCATTGTTGATCGTAACAAAAACTAATAAGTTCACGGTAGAACGGTTCATTTGGATGTGAATTAAAATCACCTAACATATACATCGCCTGCACGTTAATATTATCTACCACTATAGACGACAGTGTACCCATGCACTCAGTAAACGTAGACATATTTTCCGCTGTATCCGTTGGCATATAGACATTGCAAACTATAAAAGTTTTCCCCAGAGACTCAACCCTAATGGCCGTAATCCTATCATTGTCGCACTCAATAATCGACACAGACTGAAAGGCTTGTTTGCGCCATAAAATACCAATGCCACCATAGGGCCTACCTCGCAATAGTCCTGCCGATAAATCGACCGCCGACTATTCTACTATTAAATAAATAAATAATCATTAACATTAATTGTGTCCATTCATGCATACTCTATTTTAATTTAAACCTTTCTGTTCTAGTTATCAGACAGAATAGGAGAGAAGACATTGTATTTTTCAGCTGTAAAATGTTATTTACCCATTAAAACTGTAACTGCTTTCAAAAAAAAATGTTATTTATCAGGAATACAGATATTAAAATAAAATTTAACAGCCTACCAACTTCAAACACATTTTTTTTTTATGATTACCAAGTGACAGACGAATAAGTCGTGAGACTGGTGGTAAAGAACACGTCGACCCAAAAGGCAGTGCCACTGAGAGCTTTAAAGCGTGAAACGACCCGACGTCCATATAAATACACGAAGTTACGAACACGCGCCCGACCCGCACCCGCTGTCAGTGTGTTTCACTCTTTAGTCGCAAAGATCTGAGGAATACTGCCACTATGCCCGTAACCCTGAGACGTAAAGTTGACGAAACCCATATGCCTGTAGTTTCCCCAGCACCCTTACTCTATAAAGCGGACCACGGTAATGCTCACGTCGCGTATGTTACTGGTACAAGATCCACCTGCGCCGGCTCTCTAGTTACGTTTTTCGATTTTCTATAACGTTGTTGTTGATAATTGGCTTTGATACTGCTTTTCGTGCTTTGCTACACTTTTATCAGAGGTACACATTATTTTAAAAATTATTCAAAAAACATCGACATGTTTTTCCAAGGCCAAACCTACCCACTTAGAAACTGTGGTTTTGGTATTGTTAATAGGTATGGTGTAAAGGGCTGGTGTCTGCAACTCGACTCGTCCAGGCGCTTACTTTGCGTGCGGTTTGATAGCGATGCTCGATTGATATTGATTTGAAATCAAATACATCAATACATAGCAACCCGGTCTGAATTTGCTGTAACTGCGACACATAAGAGAATCACTAAATGCTGTAACTGCGACACATAAGAGAATCACTAAATCGCAAAGGTCTGAGGGCACTGCATTGTGCCTGCCACCTCGAGATATAATTTGACAAGTCTCATGTGCCTATAATTGATAAGCGTACCAAGAGGCTTATTGGTGACTCGAAATTAGGAGAGGCGAAGCTGCAGAGCCTTGAACACCGCCGTAAAGTTGTTAAAGTTGTCTTCTTATCGGTATTTTAGAGGATATATCATGGAGAGTGTGGGATGGAATTACATGATTTAATTCCGCCTTCCCCTTTCCATCATCAGGGGACTAGACGTAGACTTAGGTTCTACCCCCAAGTTGTGAATAACCCAAGGTTTCGCACGAAGTGTTACGCTCACACATTTATATGGCGAACGGCTATGGAGTGGAATTCTCTCTCATCAATCTGCAGGCAGGCAGACGTGTTCCCTGAACGTTATAACTTGGACCTTTTCAAGGCGAGAGTGAATAGGCATTATTTAGGTGTGCGTGCTCCAACGTTGACCTCATCGTCACTTTCCATCAGATGAGATGGAGGTCAAATGTGCACTTACATTTGTATTTAAAAAAACCAGCAACTTCAAAACCGGAACGCAGTAATGGTCACATTACGGCTTGGCAGATATGCAGATAAGGGTCAGGTAGCAGCACTTCCCTGGACGAACTCTTTCACGAGGAGCTCTACTGCTACTAAAGTGGTGCTTTTTGTCTTGCAAAAATGCAAAAACAAGACCAAAAATGCAAGACCAAAACAATGGTGCAGCTCAGTATGTGTAAAATAGACTAAAATAAAAGATACCTAGATAGTTTTTAGTCAGTAGCAAAACATAATATTTGTCAAAAAAGTTATACCTGCTGTGTTTTAGTGAAGAATGTAGGCATAGCAATAATCAGATGCCTAACCTTTGATATGTACAAACGACTAAAGTGATGAATATGGTTTTGAATTTGCTTAGATAAGTAGCAAATTGAATCTCCGATTCGGCAATAAACAGTTTTAAAAATAGTCTTTTAAAATGTGACACAATCCTCTCATTTCCCCATAAAGCCTTGTTGATACTTTAACCTTGGTCTCAAAAAATATTAAGGCAATATAATTGTCATGCAGTTAATAGGTACTGTTTATAATGTAGCAACTCATTTACTACTAGAAACACATTTTGTATAGAAATTGACACTAAAAAATCAAGTATAGTCTCATTGCACTTGGGCAAGCACGAGGAATACAAACATTAAAGTCATATTATCTCTTTAGTCACATGCACTAAATAACTATAAACCGAGGACGAGTCTATGTATAAACATTGAATTGTCAATATCAACTCATTCTAGATACTCGTATATACCCTAAAGACGGTAGTCTGCTACATGCATCGCTGGGCATTTCCAGAGAACAAAAATGTTATGAGAATGGACACCTTCCGCTCCTCTCTAGATTTAGATACAGCACCGCACCCCTCACATTGACAACAAGGTTGTCCGCAAGTCAGTTTCACGTTAAGACGGCTTTGACATTTGAATATTTTTCACTTATTCATTATGAAACTTGTACGTTAATATATAACATCATTGTATGTTACTATTTATTTACAGCTTTGATATAGGCATATCAGCTTCAAGCTGCTCGCCTATTAAATAAATAACGCACACACTCAACATAGCCCCGCACTAGGGAAACCCTGTGTCGCGGGTACCATGGACACACACATAGACAACCACAAATTACACCCAAACTCACGAGAGAAATAAATGTAAGCCACACAAACATTTCTCCCGGCCCAGGAATCGAACCTGGGACCTCTGCGTGGCAGTCCGGCATGGTAACCGTTCCGCCACGGAGGCAGTTAATAATAAATAAATAATGGTCGCTGTTTATTTAGATGATAATAAGATAATCTAATAAGATACAATAAATGAGAGGAGTTTTTTTCGTCTTCTCTAAGTAATGAAAATAATTACATCATCTCTCTCATTCTCATTTGTGAAGCAATTGTTCCCCAATAGGCTAGTAATAGGAACAGATATAACATGTGTTATATTTTGCTATTATTTAATACTACTAGAATTCTTAGAATCTATTTAATACTTTCTATGTGCAGAAATCGAGGAGCAATTGGTCCATGGTTAAATCACCTAGCAACACTAAATAAATTCAATTTTGAATTTTTTTATTCAATTTTTAAATTTATATACCTTTTTACATACAGTGCAACACAAACAACCTCTGTTCAGATCGTCGATCTGTGTTGTCATCCATATAAAAATGGAATTACAACCGACATGCTCCCGACTCGACCCACAGCCGATCTCTGTGTGTTTCACTCTTTACATTGTTAAAAAAATAATCTGTTTCTGTAATAATCTGTGTATGTACTCTGTTGTTGTAGATTCTCTCCTCAGTGATTTTAATTTACTGGTCAATCTTTGAATTAAAAACGCGAGCGTTCCTCAAATTGGCATTGGCGGGTTTACCGATATGGTATCAATGGGGTTTTAACATTATAAAGTAGAAGCAACGCACCTACTACTTGACATTGGCGAAACAGTATAATGTATTTTATTGTTACCTCTTTTATTCGATGTCCAATCATTTCCATAGTGCCACTTCCAGTCATGATTCCATGAATTAAAACTACAGGCTTGTACGTAAAACTAGGCACTACACATATTGCGAGCGCGAAAACCAGGATGTACAAAGTCATTCTTTAAAATTTCATTCCGCGCGTGAACAAAGACTGATAAAAACGTTTGTGTTTCTATGGATTTAACACGATTTACTTAATAATAACAAAGTTTAATAAACACAATTAACGTCACTTATGTTTACTGATGTCCAAATTGATAAAATCGAAGGACATTATTTACGTAAATAAATAGCATTTTACAAAAACAACAACAACAAGCAATATACATGCATTCTATTTTTTTGACTATTTTATTTTGTTGTTTTAATTTGTTTTATGACCTGGGATTCAAGTCTTTTAGTCGAATTTTTTTTTCTCATGCGCAGGGATTCCAGCATTTTGAACACCAATACGCATTTGTTATATTATTAAACTATTTATTCAAACGCTGCTAAATGTCACAAGAGTATTTCCACAAACAAACTACACACGTACATATTACAAATACTACTGAAAACTAACACTTAAACTAATTACAATGTCAGTTTTTTCCAGGTTTTAAAATACTGTTATTGCCGGTTTATACACGCCGTAGAAATCTGCCGCAAAGGCGTTCACGAGTCTACCGCTTTGCGTTGCGGAGAGATTTGCGCGCATCCCCATCATCTTTGATTTGATTGCAGTGGACGCGTGGACGCTGCTACTCTGTGATTGACCAGTGGTGCTGTTCTCCGCAAACGTTCCTTGTTACTTGCGTGGAAATATCAAGCTTGCTAGATATCAAACTCACGCAACGCAAAGAAATCCAACGCTAAGCAAGCGGCCGGCGCAAGCGAGCAACTCGTGAACAATCCTACCTGCTGCGTACGCGACAGATCTTGGCGTATGAGCGAAGCGAGACACTCAAACAAGAAAAAAAACGCAAGTGAAAGACTCGTGAACCCGTCATAACAGAAAATGAAACAACTTTCCTAATAATCGTTGTTTATTAATACATTATGCAACGATTAAAAAATCATTACAGAAAAGTAATCTTGTCGTCATAAAAAAAATTTTAAGAATTTTTGAAAAAAATAAATATTTTCCGCTCATTTCTTACAAATAAACATTACAATTCAATGTATTTACTCAAACATAGGCTATTCTTAGAATGATAGTTTAATAAATACAAAATTAAATTGTGTAGATTTTTGGGAACTGTCACAAGCATAGATTTAGTATATCTATGATCACAAGAATCATCCATTTTAAGTCTATTAAAACGCTATTATAGGTACAGTCACACATCAAGCTACACATTGACGTATCGTGTTCCATTGCACTGGAGGCGATTTTCGAACAAAAATGTGTAGTCTGATGTGCTGTTGTCCGTGCTTTATCCATCCTTTAAGACTTTAATAGACTTTCTATAGTCTGTCTCTTTTTAAGATTGAGTAAAATTACAGTTCATGACGCAAAAGTTAGTAATTGTAGTTGATAAATATTCTATGGAGTATTAATTGAATGTTAGTTACGCTTATGCAATAAATAGCCGAATTTGTTTCATTCGGATTATGGCCCATTGTTCGTCCAACCGTTGTTGTTAAAATGTAACGTCAATAAAAAATTATTTCGATACTAGTAGGCCAACTACCAAAATAAGAACGAAGAAAGCTTTAACGCAATTTCGAGAATGGCTTCGAGAGAACCTCAATTAAGTATTCAAGGAGAAGCAATAGCTGGTGTCCGTGAAGCGCGCAATCTAGGTCTCATAATAGACTCAGGGCTACGTTTTGAATCTCATATAGCAGAAGTTGCTCGTAACAGTTTTTATCGCCTAAAAGTTTTATATAAGATGCGAGATTATCTCAGCACGGATTTGCGATTGAAATTGGTGGAATCTTTGATTTTGTCTAAATTTAACTATGCAGATACAGTTTATGGTTCTCGTCTTCTGTGTAAAACTAAAGCATTAATACAGCGAGTTCAAAATGCATGCCTAAGATTTTGTTACCCAATACCTCCTAGAAGTCATGTGTCGCCATTTTTAAATAAAAATAAACTATTAAATATGTCTTCACGTCTGTATGTACATTTTGCCACTTTACTCTTTGGTATAATAAAACATAAAAAACCGTATTACATACATAAAAGTTTAATATGGTCTTCACAATTGCGTCTTTGTCGGCTAATTGTCCAGTGCCACAGAACTGCAGCATTTCAAGGAAGCTTTAAGTATGCCGCGGCGAAAATCTGGAATGATTTGCCTCCTCCTATTCGCGACGTAGCTTCTTTATCTGGCTTTCGCAAAAGAATTAAAGAGTTTACGCTAATAGGGCAAATGAACGGCATCAATCACTAAAGCCAGTTGTTAATTTATTTTAGTATAGTTATGACTCGGACATTATTCTTATTATTATTATTATTAATTTTGTTATTTTATACTGTCACGCTGCATATTGTAATAATTATATTATAAATTGGGTATTGTTATTTTAAATGTTTAGGTTACGGATCAAATCCTTGTTATTCTTTTTAGTTTTTGTTAAATAGGCATAGGTATCTACCTCTTCTCGGGCTCCAGCTGAAAATCAGCGCTGTGGCTCTGCCCAGCATTAAGCTGAACTGGCTAGCCTTTTCGGCTATTAATTATGTACTTAGTAATATTTTTTATTTTTTTATTTAAATTTAGGCTAATGTTATTATTACTATTTGTAATAGCCGAATAAATGTTTCTTTCTTTCTTTCTTTCAATTAGTAAACATTAGAAAGTTGTAACATTCATAATTTTTGAAAAGAAAATATTTTTGACAAATTTTACCTTTTTTCACAATCTAATCGAGAACAACTATAGATATTATATCTCGTTCTTGAATATGCGATGGGCGATTGTTGCAAAAAAAATATCGAATAAATCGATAGTTGCACTATCCTAGATACGATTTCACATTTTGTCGTCTTTGCAAAAAAAAATTATCTCCTGTATTACTCTACTCTTTGATCTGCATAATACTTCCACTGAAATACTTTTATCCAAGGTTTTGAAATAAATAAGCAAAATGTTAGTTAAAGTTACGATCGTTTCATACATACATTAATTAGTTGACTTTAAACGAACGCGTCCTATTTAACAGTTATTAAAAAAATTATAGTAAACGCATTTTTTTGGTCCGAACTATACAGATATATCTACTATACTTGCGACAACTATCTCTAATTAATCAATTTTAATTTATTTACGTGTATGTTGCAACATATATGTAGGTGATGTGATTAAAGCCAAATACAGAAGCCAAATACCCAAAAAAAAAGAGAATAACAGATACTAATCGCACGTGTGCGTGTCGGTGACACTCGGTGAGCCAAAGTGGCGCAAATTGGTGTATTTTGAATTGAAAGTTTATTATAATTTGAAAGTTTTCATGACTGCTACTGATTTTTACATCTCTTAACTTAAATTTTTATATAGTCACGAAGTAAAGCTGAGTAACGCTTTAATTTACTGACCATTTGGTAAACAATCAACTTTGTACTAGGTAAACGTCGTGTCAGGTTATCTTACCTCACTTTTAACAAACTTGTGGTGAATTTTACAGATTTGAACAAAAAGAAGCATGGCTGCAACATCGCTAGCCGAGCAGTTGCAAAAATTATCGGTTCCACAAGCAACAGTGTACAAAGATGACAAGAAAAAAGCATCTTTACTGTTTAACCCTAACGAAGCCGCGGCTAAAGATCGCGACACGTTTTACGAAATCGGTATCAGCGGACTTAATGAACTAATATCTCTATACGAAGGTTTCAGACTGTACGAAGATACCCTCTTTAGTATATCGTCAAAAGATTTCGAAAGAGCTGTGCAAACAAAAGAGGTGAATGAAAATTTAGATCAGACAATAGAAAAATTTTTACTACAATTGTCACCATATTTACTCCTTCAATCTGCTCATAAAGCTTTAGAATGGCTTGTGAACCGTTATCATATTCATCAATACAATGTAGACGCTGTTATGGCTTTGATTCTGCCTTATCATGAGACAAAAATCTTTGTTCGATTTGTCCAACTTTTAATAATCAAGAAGTCTTCAAGGTGGGTGTGGTTGAAACCTATTCAAAAGAATGGTGTTCCGTTAACAAAGCAAGTTATGTACAACCAATGTGTTTCAAACCCTGATACTTTACATTTCATAGCGAAGAACACTTTGAAGTATGTTCAAGAATATGGAGAGAGAGCTAACCAGTTGAACACTGTATTTGCTTACTTTTGCTCAACAGCTATTGGTGCCATGAATACCAGTAAGAAAGTTACTGAAGGAATGATTAGTGCACTGTTGCCTACACTGGTGAAAGCCTTAGATTCACCCATATCAGATTTTCGTTCATCTGCCTATGTTGTACTCGGCTTCTTATCTACTAAAGCCAAGATAAAAACTGATACTATAAATGTTATTGTTGACAAAATGTTGACTACGGAATTTGACTTATCATATGATGTTGTGTTACTTATAAATTTACTGTACACAAATCAGGAACATGTGACAAAGCTGTCTGATGTAATTCTAAATGACATGTCAGATGATATTATGATCAATCTATGTGAACATTTGAAAAAATTAGTAGAACTCAAAATTAATATTCAACCATTCGCTCTGGCATTGTTGTCTGGTATTTTGCCTATTATTTTGAGTGATATTGAAGAGTTTAGACGGTTTTGTCAGTTGCCTGTTATATTGATTGATGAAGTAGACTTAAAAGGACAGCAACCTGAGAAGATAATCAAGTAAGTCTTCATAAGTAATTTAAAGTTACAATTTATGATAACTCACTGCATATCTAATTATTTAATGTTTCTTGGTTGTAATTATACTCTTTTTTGTTTTAATACTCAGGAGTTCACCTCTATTTAAAACATTCGTTTTCAGGTGCATTCTTGACGCTTACCACCCAAAAACTCAACCATCTGGAAACAATGTTGATGGAGATGAAAGTGATGTTGAGATTATTGCAGATGAAGATGATTTCTCATTTAAAATACTTACTTGGTTCTCTGCTCTACTGAAAAACATTGAAGTTAAGTACCCCTTAGAGTTTGACAAGGTCATCAAACAAGAAATGCGCTCTGAAGGTAAAAAATCTACAATGAGACAAAAAGCATTATCAAAAGTATTAACCTTCAAACCTGCCGTAGCCCATAAAGTAGGAGGAACTTACCTATTTGAAAATCTAAACCATGTTAACCCTGACCTGCGTGTAGAAGCAGTAAAATACATTGCTAAAGAGTTTCATAGCTTGAAAGCAGAAAATATTGACTTTGTTAAAGACTCAGTCATAAACAGATTCAATGACGACAATCCTGCTGTAGTGGCTGTTACTTTAAAAATACCAGATGAGTGCCTGAAAGAAGTATTAACTGATGTTGATCTGACTACCACATTTGTTAAAATTATTTCAAAAGGTGTAGGTATCAAAAAATGGAGACCTGTTGTCAAAGAAGCTATTCTTAAATTTTGTTCTTTAGATGTCCTACCAGTCAATCATGAAACTGTGTTAGCTCTTATACCATACCTATTTCCTCAAAGCAAAAATGCTGCTGAAATTACTTGGCATATTATAACATCATCTTGGGGAAAGAAATTTGGTTTTTCTAAGCACTTAAAAGGTATCACTGAGACTTTTAAAGATAATGCAGAAGTGTTGAATCAGGCAATCTTCAGAATTCTATTTATTGACAGAACTGTAAACTTCGATGACATATTGGATATTTCCCAACTGAACAAGGACAGTACAATTGATGTATGTTTCTATTTACTTCTAAAATCTTGCTCATTTAAAACTGCTACAGTTGAAGAAATCAATAATGTACTGAATCTACTATTAGAATCTGTAGAGAATCGAGCAATAGTGGCCAGTACTGTTACGCAAGCTTTTGTAGTAGAAATAATGCCTGAAATAATTACACTAACTTGTCAGAACAAGATCTTGTTTGAAACAATTGAATACATTTTCTCAAGAATCATTGATGATATGAATGTTACGGGAATTACAACACCTTGGTGTAATGTATGTGAATCTACTGATACTGTTCTTGTCAGACGATTATATGAAATATGCATTACGGGTTGCGCTATTCCCAGTTATGCTGAAAATTATTCTCAACTGCTGCAGAAACTGTTGGGCAAATTCTTTACCGACCCTAAAGACAAGTTTGAATTCGTGGCTAACTTTGCTTGTGGCCATATTCTATATGCCACTGATCCCAAAGATATCATAAGTCCAGAACTTCAACTTCGAACTATGAAACTGTTAAGTAATTTTATAGCTGCTCAAGATAAAGCAGAATGGCTATTTGATTCAGATGTAGTCATTTTATTGATATTATTTAATCTCAACAATCCTATATCAGCAATTCGTCAATCTGTGATTGATTTCATCAATGACTTGCTCAGGGAATTTCCTAAAGAGAATCTTGTTTATGTACAGCTATTAAAAGAGTTGATGGCTCACAAAGAAGAAGTTTTACTAGACAATGAGCAAATACTGCATGTCCTTAATACTATTCTTACCCAACAGTCTATAGGAAACAAATTATTTCGGAAGAACTGCTTGCTGAAGTTTGCTGGTATTTTAGCAGGACAAGCTCCTGCACATATTAAATCAAGTTTCTTGAATATTTTGTCTCATCTTAATAACTCAAATGCTTTCACGCACATTATCCAAAGTTTGAGTTCAGTTGAGAAAGTTTTGAAACAAAATGAAAATCCAAAATTTGTACTCAATATTTACGAATCAAATTTACTGAAAAGCGTTTACAGACATATTAACGAATCAACGGTGTCGGCTTTCGCCAATGATGAAGTTTGGAAGTCTATCGAATTTGGCCTAAAGGAGTACAGAGAGTGTATTTTCGAAGTAGATCAAACATTTACAAGCCCATGCGTACAAATTTTGAAACAAATTGACGAAGACATGTTCAAAAAGGTTCCCGAGGAAAGAACGAAAGTTTTGGTTTATTTGATTGCCGCAGCAGGTGCGTTCAGTAACAATCCGACTATATCGAGTGCTGCTTCGAAATGTATCAAGAAAATTTATGTAAAATTTTCAGACTTTTATCCCATATTTGAGGGAATGTTGAATGTTAAAGACCCTGCAGCCAATGTACCAAAAAAGAAAAAAACTACAGCGGTAACCCTTCTCTCGTATCAACTGACCGAAACTAGCGAATGGAGACTAGGAGTAACGCTTCTGGAATATGTTCAGAATAAGAAGAAAATGTCGGTAGATAACTCTTTCGTAGCTATCCTATTCCAATTACTGAATAGGTGTTTGAGATTTGAAGAGCAATCTTATGTGGAATATACAAAGCAATTGATACTGTCATCTCTTTGGTATTACTGCAAAAAATTTGTTAATGACACAGATAAGGATCAACTGAAATCATTGAAGTCTGTATTTGAAGTAGAATTAATAGTCCAATGTATTAGGGGTACTCAGAATCCTCAGACACATCACCATGCATTAATTCTCCTCTCTCATGCTGCATATATGATGCCAGAACAAGTCCTCCACCACACAATGGAAATATTTACTTTCATGGGCTCATCTGTTCTTAGACATGATGATGCTTATAGTTTTCAAATTATTACGAAGATCATCGAAACGTTGATACCAATTCTAGTAAAATTGGAGAAGAATGTTGAAGATTACACCGAGAAAGAGTTGAAAAAGTTACAAGACCGGGTTGTGCCAGTTTTACGCATTTTTGCTGATGTCGTATTACATGTCCCTGAACACCGACGATTACCATTGTTTAAGAAGCTTATAGAAACACTGGGACCGAGTCAATTTATGTGGGTTTTCCTTGCTTTGTTGTTGGAAACCCATGTCGCTCACTTTAATGAGTTGAAGAAAAAGAATAAGTCTTCTAAAAGGACACTGGCCGACCAAGATGCTCCAATAGATAGACTAGATTTTGGGCAAAGTCTTTTACTTGAATTCCCTGCTGAAATTGGTATAGAAAACTTTATAAAATTAATTACTTATGCTAAAACTTTGCCTTTGCAAAAAGATGAAAATGAAATGGACACTGATGTTGATCCAAGTGATATATTCAGCGTTAACGGCCATACGGCGATTCAAGTGCGGCATTTCATATATGTCGTAATAACTTTTATTAATACCTGTCTAGCTTCTTCGAGGTTTATACAGCATTGTAGTCAAGCAGCAGACATCAAGACCCTGGAAAACCATTACAAGACAATTATCGTTAATATTTTGACATTCATTCAGAGTATTTCAAAGGTCAATGATGAAAGGATAGAGAAATACAGAAGGGTAATGTTGCATCACAGCTATGATCTCTTGGATCATACTAACAACTTGCTGTCTGCTCCTATGTTTATCTCGGTAATTCGAGGTTTATTGAAGCATAACCTTATGACAGTAAGAAGAAAATCTATGGAATTGCATAACTCTAAAATCCAGTACAATCCAGAAATGTTCAATGATGTCTCCAAGGAGTTAATATTTTCCTTATTACCTGCGCTATTGGACATTGTGAAGACACTTGAAAACAATGATAACTGCCTTGATGACATCACTGCTCAAGAAATGGAGTTAAATCAGCAGACAGCTCTTCTTTCGCTGAAGTTGCTCACAAGAATGTTGGCATCTGATAATCCCGAGCCATTTAAACCAGTAATGGAAAGTATCACTGATTACACATGCAATCCAAATATTTCTGGACAGGTTACGGCTTCTGTCGTTTTGTGTTTGGCCGAGTTGTGTGGAAACTTGAAGGTCCATGCTTTGTCTAGTCTTCGAAGATTTATGCCCGCCCTTATCAAAGTTTTGAAGAAACAACGTAAAACCGAAACACCAGAGTTGGTTCTTCTAAGTACAGTAACAGCAATTTCGAAGATAGTCGAAAGTTTGCCACTTTTCTTGAGTCCGTATCTTCAGAAAATTTTATACGAGTACTCAATCTTGCTAGCTAAATGGCAGAATTATGATCAAGAATGTAGTAAAGTGTCAGCTATAGTAGCAAAGTTGTCGCATATCAAGAAAAAAATTGCTAGTTCTATTCCTCCTCGAGTTTTGATTCCAGTTGCGAACGAAACTTACCAGTTGCTTTTGGGGAAAGAAAATTTTGATGCTATTGGTCCAGTGATGTCTGTACTGGCTGATAGTTTCGGGAATGTGACTACTGCTGACTTTACGGCGCTGCAGCTAGATTTGACTACTTTCTTCCTCTCTGCTTTACAACTTCGCAGTGACACTGTAGACAAGGACGTTGACCTTGCAGTTATTGATAGAGCTGAAGATCAAATAGTCAATGCTTTAGTATGCCTAGTATTGAAGCTGTCAGAAACCAGCTTTAGACCATTCTACTTCAAAATTTATGACTGGGCGATCAGAACTAATGTTGAAGGTCATAAGGACAGGACTATAACTTTCTACAGGTGAGTTAACATGTTACTAAAATGTAGTAGTTTTAGCCATTGACTTACAAATAAATGGACGACGGGTCTAATACAAAAA